AGCGTAAATAAACAGTAGGTGCATGATAGCTTTAAGTAGAAAGTGTTCATTCCACAAGAGGAGCAGATTACTGAAGCCTGATGCCTATAATGGCAAAAGCAGAACTTCCATTTTACCTGAAAATACAGCCTCCTGTACTAAGACTTGTGGCCTTTCTATTAAATTAATTTGTCAGGATTCTATGAAAGATATTACGCACTCAAAGAACCTTAGCAAAACCATTCATTTTTGTAGCCCTCAACTTGAACCATTTAAAAGAAAACAAAAGCCAATCACTCCTCTGTCATTTCATCATCCCACTGCTCTAAATGAAAGCTTTAGATAATCAACCTAATATAACAGAAAATAAAATGATATATAGAATTGCCTATACTTTTGAGTTATTTTGTTCTTATAAATATATTCCCTGACTGGAAGTAAAAAAATTCCCCTTTGGAAAAAGCAATGATTTCTGAGAAGATTGTATATACACTCTACATCTATTAACATAAATTATAAGAAAGTAAAATGTTCCAGATGTGTTTAAACTGTTGTAGAAGGAAAGTTTGTGGCTTCATTGGATATATATTAAATATATCTAGAGAGAGCAATGGCAGTTATATACAAGAAGGCAATAAAATGCTTCAGTAGTATCTATGTTAAAATAACGTAGTTCCTAGAAATATGACTAAAACATTTCAGAAGTCATATTTCCTCCAGTTTTAATTCAGAAATATACTTTTAATATATTTTTCCTATATATTGCAAACTACTTTACAAATATAAGAATCTCCTTGATTTTTTTTTTTTGTTCCAAGTACAGCTGGAAACCTTAAGAAGGACTTCAGATTTATCTGACAATGCTTAGATTAAAAAAAATAGGTGACAATAAAAGGGTGACAGTGCTTCCAAAAATTGAGTAGTTGATACAATTAAAAGGCTTGGGTGTTTGGTTTTGGGGTTTTGGTTTGGGTTTTTTGGGGGGTTTTTTAGTTTGGGGTTTTTTTTTTTTTTGTCTGTTTGTTGTTTTTTTTTTTCCCTGAGGACACCAGACTCCAGCTGATCAGCTCCCCAAGAGCGGTCGCACACATCCAAACCCCCCTCTATCCCACACCTGAGATGTGGGACGAGTTAGTGCTCACTCAGGCCGCCCCTACTCCAGAGAGGTTGCCGTGCTGGAGGAGCGGCTGTGCCCGCACTGCCGGCAGGGCTGAGCGTGGCCGTGGCCGTGGCCGTGGCCGTGGCCGTGGCCGTGGGATGCTGGCAGGGCTGTGGGCAGGGCAGGCAGAGCCCCGGCAGGCAGGTGCTCGCCAGCCGGCCCCTGGGCCTACGCTGCGAAGCGCAGGGGTGCCCTGCTCGCCCCCGAGCTCGGGCTACCCTGGCCAGCCCTCTCTGCTGCTCATCCTGCCGAAGCACCACGGTCCCACCGAGCGAGTTCCAGCTCGACCCTGGTCTGCTTGACAGTGCTTCCCCGGGGGTGCGCAGCAGGAGGTTAGGGCTCACGCGTCTCGCTAAAATAACAGGAGAGGAGGAAACTGTGAGAGTTACTTTCCTATTTAAAGTATTAAGAGCAAAGAACATAAAAAGGAAGCGGCCAGTTTTTCAAAGTGTATGCACAAAAAGCGTTCCATTTAAATATTTTTTGTTTCAGTAAACTCTTTTGCATACAAAGGACTTATTTATTACATATTTGAACTTGTGGGAAAAAAGAGGAGGAATGCACTGATTCCTGAAATAACTCTACAGTCTTTTTGGAGACTTTACTCTTCTGTGCTCTTGTTCTGCTCGGAACAGTTTTATTCCAGGGACAGAGGAATTCCTCGGACTCAGTTGTTTCTTTTCCACTAGCTGTTTGTATTCAAGAGTGGGCATACACAGCATACTAGCCAGTGCTTTTAATTTCTCTTCTATTGCCTGATTATGTGTGTGTGCTATCTGTTTAGACGCATGCTTACACGTGAACACGTTGCATTTGCTGCCTGCTCGTTCTGTTACCTACTCTACGTTATTACACATTTCTGTATAACCATTGCTTCGACTTGAAAAGCAAAGTAATGCCAACAACAATCTCAAACAGAAAATGAATTAGAAAACGAGTGTATGTATAAAAGTCTTAAAGAACATATAGGAATATGGGACCGAGAAGAGCACTCTCACATTCTACAAATAGTGCTGCAGAGTAATTAGAAGATGGAAATTGCAAAGAACATCCTACATTCCTGTCTTTACACTCTACGCTTACTGTTTCAAGTTGTTTTTGAATAGTGCGCCTGATTTGACACATTTCTATCTGGTGATTGTGTTAAATGCTTGAAGAGATAGTGAAATATCCAAGCATTCCTTGTGCTAACTACAGCTGAAATCTTACACTTATTGTAACCTTTTCTAACAATGTGAGAAAAACAGAGTAAATATATTAAATTTGTTTCACAACAGATGCTTAGGTTGTTAATATTTAAGATGCCTATTCATGCTATTCCTGTCTGCACATTTGTCAAAAATGTAAGCTTGAATGCTAATGTTTGCCAGCAGACTACAGCAGACAAATATACGAATGCACCGTACCAAAATAATATAAAGTAGAGATAAGGGACTGCTGCTAACTCCCACCCAAGTAGCATGGACCAGAATGAAAGGGCACCACCAGATCGTACGCCCCAGAGTCCCTGCATCTGAATTTGAGAATTATTTCACAGAAGCTCTGGGCTCAGTCGGACCGACTAAAACCAGCGGAGAGCCTTCGTCAGCTTAAACTCATTTCAGCTCAGGAGCTGGTGCAAAGTATTTCGGCAAACTTGCATTTTTAGCGAAGTTTCTCTGGCAGCCAGGGGAGGCTGGAGGCTGGCGGAGGGAAACTCCGGCCCGGGCAGGTGCCTGTCAGGAGCTCCCGCGGGCGGCCAGCGGGGACGGCGACAAAGGGACGACGGTTTGAGCAAAACCTCGGGTGGCGGGTTTGGAGACGGAGCGGAAAAATCAAAATAAAAAAAAAAAAAAAAAATCCTGGAGCACCGAGGCGAGTTCCTGGCACTGCTTCCCCGTGACAGCGGGTCGTGCCGCGGGCGGGCGGGACACACACGCACACACACACACACACGCGACACGACACGACACGACACGACGTGCCACCCACCGCCACGGGCGCGCCCCCGGCGGGGCGATCCGCCGCCGCCGCCGCCGCCGCCGCTCGGCCGCCCGCGCAACCCCCGCGCCCCGCGGAAGCGCCACCCCACGCCGGCCCCCTTTCCCGCGCCCCCCACGCCCGCGCCGACCCTCCGCTTCGCCCCGCGCCGCGGGGCTCCCGCCGCGCCGCGCCCGCCGCTGCCGGCAGGCGCGCGGGGCCGGGGAAGAAGTTTGCCAAACTTTTAGTTTTTTTGGGGGTTGTTGGTTTTTTTTTTTTTTTTTTTTTTCCCTTTCCCCTTTCCTTCCCCCTCCTCTCTGCCCCCACCCCCCTCTCCCCGCTCCCCACCCGTGTCGGTGGCGGGTGAGGCGGCGGCGGGCAGGGGAGCGGAGCGGAGCGGCAGGTGTGAGCCCGGCCCGAGCGGGAGGCTCCGGCAGCGGCAGCGAAAAGCGGAGCTTCCCCCACACCCCCCCCCACACCCCCCCCCACCAACACCCCCCCCCCCCGCTCCCCACCCGCCCTCTCGGGTCGCCACCGCCGGCCTGTGGCAAATCACCACGGTGGGATCCCCCCCCCGCCGTGTGTGTGTCCCCCCCCCCCCCAAGTCCCCGAGGAGCGAAGGAGCGGGACCGACTCACTCATGGGAGCGCGGCGGGCGAGGCCGGCGACACCTCCGGCTTCCGAGGCGCCGGCGAAGTTAATTGCACTGAAGTTCAAGTTGTCTTTTCACCCATCAGGAGTGGGCGTTTAAAGGAAGGAGAGCGAGGAGGAGGAGGGGGAGGGGGGAGGGGGGAGAGTCTCTCTCGCTCTCGCTCGCTCGCTCTCGCACACGCACACGCATGCACGCGCGCACACACACACACACACACAGAGACACACACACACACACACACGCGCACAGACACACAGACACGCACACACGCACCCGCCCGCTGGGCTCCGCTCCCGAGCTGCCTCAGCAAGGAGGAGCCCGGACAGAAAACACCAGGGCAGCAAGGTACCGGCGTGGGGCAGCCCTGCCTCTGTCTGTCTGTCTGTCTGTCTCCGTGTGTGTGTGCGTGTGCGTGTGCCTGTCATGTGTGTGTCTGCGGCCCCCCCCCCCCTTCCTCCTCCCCTCCCTTCCCCCCCCCCCCCCCCCCCCCCCCACGTACGGCCCCTTCGGGCGGGGAGGTGCGCGCTGCCCCCGGGGAGGGGGTGGCGGTGCCGTCGGGGCAGCGCGGCGGCGGGGGGGGGGGGGCTGGGGGGGGGGGGGGGGGCTGGGGAGAGGCGGTGGGGTTGGGGGGGGGGGGGGAGCTCCGCGACCTGCGCCGCCGCCCGCTCCGCGCCTGCTGCGTGGGGCTGCGGTGGGAGGGAGGGGGGGGGGGGGGCGAGCAGCTCTCTCTGTGTGTGTGTGTGTGTGTGTGTGTGTGTGTGCGCCGCGTCTCCTCCTCTCCGCCCGCTCCCGGCCCCGCGTGGCCGTGGGGCTGACTTGGTGGAATTGCCGAGGCGGGGGGGAGGGATGTGTGTGGGGTGGGTGTCCATCCCTGTCCTTTCCCCTCCCCTCCGCCCTGTGAGAGGGGCCAGAACCCTCCTCCGCATTGCATTCGCCGGGCACCTCGCCCCCCTCCCCGCTTTCCCTCCCCCCGCTCCTTTATTCCCACACCTGCCCCCCCCCCCCCCCCCCCCCCCCGCCACTCCCTGCACCCCACGGGCGGCCCCGCTCGGGCAGGCAGCGCCCCACGGCCACCAGCGCTTTCAGGCGGCCCCGGCGGGTCGGGGGTGGCCGGGGTGAGCGGAGCCCCCCCGGGGGTCGCTGCCCGCCCGCGGGGGCCGGTCCCGCCGCGCAGCAGCCCCGCTCCCCACGGCTGGTGTTTCACCTGGCCCCACGTGCTCCTCAGCAACGCTGCCTCAGAATTGGATTTATTCGTGTAACTTCTCCTTCGGGAGGGACTTGTTCTCTCTTCTTTTGTTTGGGTTTGGTGTTTTTTTTGTTTGTTTGTTTGTTTTTTTTGTGTGTGGGTTTTTTTGTTTGTTTGTTTGCTTGTTGTTTCTTTTTTTTTTTTTTTTTTTTTTTTTTTTTTTTTTTTTTGGTTGTTGCTGTTGTTACGTTTTTTTAAGACCTTCTTTCCCATCTTCGCCGATGCAGGATTTGGAAGTGGAGTTCCTGGAGAGTGAACCTGGCAATGAGTGTGGGTTTCCCTGCAAGCTGAGGCTGTTTCTTATTCCCTAGGAGACTGAGAAGAGAGGGGACCCTGGATGCCAGCCCACTCTCCGGTTTTTATTTGTCTTGACTCTGAGGCAGATTTCCTCTTTCAGCTCTGGGAACTGACAGGTACAATTCCTGTAGGCACCACTGCATGTCTCAGAGACAAGACCAAGACCATGAAGTTGATAAGTCAGTGCTTTTCCTAGTTAACCAGCGGTACACTCTTCTATTAATTGCTATTAGAACGTGCAACCTTGTAGCACAGTTACTCAATAGTCATTAATCTGCGGGGGATACACAAGCCCAAAGGTTAATAATAGGAATAACAATTAATAATATTGACCTTGCTAGCAGGGAGAGTATTTTTCTCCTAGTTAGTAAAAGGCATTCCTATTTATCACTGTGTACAGTGGTGTAAATTTGGACCCAATATGTCTAGTACCAAATTACTGCTGCAACACCAGAAATTAATTTACCCCATTATCTCCATGTTATCAGGCCTCTGACTTTTTCTCCCTTTAAAATGTATCATCCACTACTCTCTCATTTTAAACAGAAATGCTAAGTCTTTAATCAATTCTGACATTTCCACCAGAAAATAACATCAAGCTCTCTTATACAGATCAAAATTTATTTGCCTGCAGCTGATTTGTTGTAGTGCTTTAGACCTATTCATTTTTCAGAGAGGACTTAGCTTTTTATGGTCTTTAGCTGCCATGGGGTAATAAACAGAAAGTCAGTACAAAGGGGATTTTCTCACTTTTAAGGTCCAACTATCAGGTCCCCACAGCTCTCAGGCTGACTGCCTGGCTAACCGGCATCCTTCTGTTGTTAGAGACCTATCTCCTTTATTTGTATCGCGCTCTTCTGACTGGCTGGTCAGCAAGTCCTAATAATAATCATGTTTCATGTCTCAGAAATCTAATAATCAAGTTAGTCATTCTTATAAATTGCAGCTAAGCTATTTAAGTTAGTCGCGTTATCCCACTTTAAAGGCAAGGAAAACTGAAACAGGAAAATTAACACATTTGCCCGAGGCCACACATGGATTTAAGAGGAGATACAAGACTGGAACTGAATTTAGACCAAGCTTCTTCAGGATCCTCAAGTGCACTATGGAAAATTCTTCTTTAGAAAAGAAATGTAATGTAAACCTTATTTTTCATCAATTTTGTATATTAGTCAATTTGCACACACTTTTTTTTTAGATCACATTTCCTTTTCTAAAGATAAGATTTATCCAGCTTTTAAAAAAAGTGTGGTGATACCTTTCATCTATATAGGGCAGTTTACTTAGGAAATCAGAAAAATTTAATACGCCATTGTGAGTGGTGATGGGAACATAATTACTCATTATTAGGTTGCTGTAAACAGTGTTTGTTGGATGTTACAGTGGAGTGACAGGCCAACAAAATATAGTGAGTCCAGCATTAGTATGGATGAGGTGCTGTTGCTTACCTGGTGTGCATCGGTTTTCGCCATAATGCTCCTTCAGTTCTTCCGGTGTCAAAATACTTAGCATGGCTCTAAACACTGCAAAACATATGGGACAACCATATACTCTCTTTGAGAATTATGATTTGTATCACTAAGCAGTGAGTTTTAACCCAGTTGTGTCATTCTTGTCAATGGAGCAAGACGTACACTGCCGGCCCTTCAGCTGTGGCATGTCATCAGAGCAGTATTATGGTATGACCGGGCACAGGCGGCATGCCTAAAAAGCAGGTGTACAATATAACTTTCCTATTACTGACACGTACATATTTCCTCTGCCTCAGTGTCCACCCCCAGATGTTTGCTTGCCTAATCTTCGACAGGAACTACAGAAAGTCCTGCTCGTCCTGCTTATCCCTGATGGCTGGAATTGTACAGTCAAAACCCTATACAGAATAAGTGTTCACATATATTTTTATCTATTTATGCTGACAGCTCCATTCTGAGCTTTTTTAGCGTCCTGATTTGAGGGAAGTGGGTGCAGATCTCATTCAAATAATCATTCTCCAATACCATTAGCATTACCTGCCAAAAATGAAAGTGGCATATGAATCACAGTAAGACACTCATGAGTTTGTGGATTTAGAGCCTGCCAAGGAACACCAGGAATCCACATGATTTCAAAGCCCCATGAGTTTTAGGGACTTTGAACAATGTGAAAAAGTACATTTATCCAAAGACCATCTTATTGATGACCCGTTCTATAAGGACTACAGACATAACCAATTCGAGTGAAGGACAATATTAACTGAAAATATTTTCGTTTAAAACTTTCTGTTTCACGTGAGGTAGTGGAAGTGGTGAATCTGCTAATGGAAACTACATCAGAGCCTCTTCCTGAGGTGCCCCAGTGATGTGGAAATACGCTTTTGTGTGAGAAGAGCTATTGGATCCTCTGGGAAATACCACAGATGCTTTCCAGTTCCCTTCAGACATGTAAATATCTTTTATGTTTAGACATGAGTAGAGAAGGGTGGGAAGTGAAGTAGAGAGAGGAGTGGAGTGGGGTTAAAAGCATCCATGTAGATCCAGGAACCAAATAGATACACATGGGTTTGTATTTTTTTTTTTTTCCTGTATCTGATGTTAGCTGGGGCTTGAAATCAAATGTTCATTATTAAGAAGAAACACTGCATGAATGTGTGCATACTTGAGAGTTATGCTGACCCATGATTGACAGAGAAGGTAATCTTCTGCCTGAAATTACAAATGATCAGCAGAACTCTCAGTAGTGCTCAGATACTTACATTGTTCCCAAATAGTATGTTCCTTATCAAGTATGTTTTATTTCCAGCTTGTAGTATATGGCTAGTGCTATAGCAGTGAAAAACACTACATGACACATAGCACTTATGATTGCTTGCTTTATTCATGGTTTGCTTTAAGCTAGGCACATCAGAAACTGAAAATAATGTTTGAGTCTTTTTTCCCCTCTTAAAATACAAAAACAGCAGCCCAAGTTTTGTAATCTATTTATATGGCAGTACTTGTGAAACATAGCAAAAAAGCCTGCTTACTAGTATGATCTACACATAGCTGTCTCAGCAGCCTGATGAAATGTTAAGACTCGGTTGGAGTAACTGTGTTCCAACTGGTGTTCGTGTTACCTATCGTAGATGAAAATGTCAGTGAACAATACAGCCGCTCTGCAGTGGCCTTCTGTGCGTATTTGAAATGCAAGTGGCCATTATCAGCTGTACCATAAGCTTGTCTGATGTTTCATCTCGCTGGTGGCTCAGTGAAAGACGCTCGGATGACTTTTTTTTCTGAATGTGGCTGCTGCTTTCAGTGTATTTCTGCAGTCTGTTGATTATTACACTCTTTGTTGGTTAGACACCGATCTCCCAAGCTTAGGCCTATGCCAGCTCACTACCTGAATGTCTCTCCTGAAAATGTGTTCACTGAAGTGGGAATCATGTCAATAATAACAAATTCTTCTGTCTCCATACTGGCTTAAGTTTCCTCCAATCATTCTTTCAGGGTCCGTATTCCCAGGCCCTGATGCTACACCCTACCTCAGTCCATTCAGCTTCTCTCCAAGATGGTAACTATTTTCTGCTCCACATCTCTGTTACAGGAGATCTTCTGATTACCTAAAAAAGTAAACTGCATCCTGTAAATTTCCTCTTAAAAATTCTGCTTTATGGAAGAAAAAATCAACTTGTTGCAGGTGCACCAAAGACATCAAACTCGCTTCTGTTTTGCCTGACTGCCCTCTCCATCTTCTGTCAGTCTAAAATTATCATGTTTCAAAGGATTGAAAGAGTTGTATTAATATTTGCGTGAACCACTCTTCCTGCACATCGTCTGTTCTTTTTTCCTTCCCCTTGGTGTCTGGTTTGTCTTGGCTGCTTTTAAAAATTCTGCTGCCTCTAGTGAGGGACAGCCAGATTAAACCAGTGAAAAGAAACCAGGTGACTGTCTACTTTTACAAATATAGGTTGTGTGTAATCAAGTTTTACATCTATGCAAATTAAATCATCATATGATTCTGACTACATGCATTTTTTATCAAATATGGCATATATTTCACAAATTATATTTAACTTATAGTCATGTTGCTATTCTGAATACATAACTAGGAGTTACAAGGTGTGCCACTAGACTGTAGTAAATAGGTTTATGAAAACAGAAGAAATAAGAAAAAATTAACTTTTTTTTCTTGTATTCTTGGTAAGTCCAGGGGAAAGGCTTTTCCTGCTATAGGGGATAATAAAAACACCTCACCGCTGAGCTGTTTATAGACGCAAGTACATCTTCTTATTAGAAGTGTAGAGATTTTGTAAAGGCCTAAACAGAACATGGCCAGAATAAGGAAGTTTTAAAACAATGTGTCTTTGCTCTGGAGTTTACCACATCTAGTTATTAAGGCCTTCCACTAATGTTTCTGTCATGGGGTGAAACACATTAGTCACAATGTCAAAATAAACATTTTACTTCCACAAAACTGTGTTTTCACCTCAGGAATATTGTGAGGTGAAAACAGGATTTAGCACCATTCTTCCTTTGGGGTTTATCGACAGACAGGGTGGTTTTAGTGTAAAGCCCTAAGCCTTGCAATATAATTCCAACTATAGGTGCACCATACTTTGAATAATCCATCTGTCAGCTGAGCTATGACAGGGATTATGCTGTGAAGGTAACAACTCAATGCTTTCAATGTTAACTGTCCTCGGCAACCACTGTTGGGTTTTTTACTAAATAAAAAGATATTTTGGTGAGCACAAAGATATCTCTGTCAATACTTATGTTTTGGTCAATAAGAGGGTCTGGATGGTGCTTAAATGTGGGACTTAAGTGGAATTTAAGCATGTGAACAAACAGGTGTGATTCAGAAAACCACTGTTAAGCAGTTGTCTAAACCTGAAAGCACGACGTTTGCCTCTCATGATTCATGCCTTGGAGTTAGTTCCTTTTCCACCTGGCTTCCCCAACCAAGCCTCTCAGAAATGCTCATGCCCAAGTCCTCTGGACCGCAGGACCACGACATTCCTCCACCCAAGTGTCCTGCTCGGGTTGACCTCCTGGCCACGCTTGGAGCATGCCCCAGAGTCCCTGACACGGCTGGCTTCTTGACAGAATACAGCAGGGTCACAGTGGTAACGATGGTGCTTACTCCCAGGACATTTTTAATTTTTTTTTTTTTTTTTTTTTTTTCCTTGAGCTGGGTGTTGTGTGTATTCCACAACAATTTAACATGGCAAAGATAGAAATAATCCCAAGAACTCAAGTGTGTGCCCCAGCCCTGGGAATAACCTAAACATTAGATTATGATCTAAGGAATCTTGAATTTGTTTGTGCTCAAGGGCACTGTTTCAGCAGAAGGGTCGAGACTGCCTTTTCTAAAATAGCTATCAGCCTGATGGTCAGAGTCCTCCCTGGGGTGAGAGGAGTTGTGAATTGGGGCCTTTCAGGGCAGGAGAGATGAATCCCATGATTGCATGAGTGCTCTAATCACAGAGTTGTTATATAGAGGGAGATGGGAAGCCAGCTTCTCCTCCAGCTATGTTTTAATAAAACATAAGTTTTGAAGGAAAGATCACAGGAACCTATTTTCATAAAAAGAATCAGGGTGTAGATACTGAGTGGATGAAGGCATCTCTCAGACAGCCCTGGGTAGAGCCCTGTCTTTAGAGGTAACCCTCACGTAGAGCGAGCCCTGGCTTTAGAGGAAGGCAAGATTTTAGAATTGGGGCAAACTTCATTTTTTCCCTGGTTAATTCCAGTCAACTTATGTCAAGGTCAAGGCATGCTGTGCTGGCTATTTTCCAGGCTGTCCAGGTGTCTCTCCATGTATACCACAGGAAAATCATGTTTTTAAAACACGGTTCTGGATACCTGGTAGCGGACCACGGGCCAAAAAATTTGATGTTGGAGCACCAAAGATTTTGGAGTGCCAGAAGCCTTTATAGGATTAGACCATAAACCATATAAGTCAGTATCTGATTATTCATAACAGTTGGTTTCATATTAACACCAATACTTAGTATCTGGTGGTAACTGTTCTCTCAGTAGAGTTTCTGGTCCATTTTTATTTTGTATCACAAAGGACAGCACAGGAAATTGTTGGATTGCATATTATTTATAATGAAAGTTCTCACTATAAGTGTTTTCCATTAGAAGCTGTAATGGCTAGCATGGCTAGATATGCTTATTTGTTTGAGTCCTGTGGGATAGAAGGTTAGACTTATATTTTTATGGAATTTAACTAAATTAAAATGAAAAAACATACTAAAATTTTGACCTATTTTAGGAAAACTATAATAATACTGAAAGATGCTTATTTCTCCTCCAAAAGTAATTTTATTTTACCTACATGCAAACTTCCAAAATAAGGGGACAACATATTCCTCCGAAAAAAGATAGCAACATGACGGCAGTCCAGTGCAGAGATTTCCCCTGTCACGGCATATCTGACTGTTTTTGCCACATATAGGTTGTATGGGCACAGTTCAGACAGCCTGTCCCACACATGTTTCTTCCCCAAACCTGCTTGATACTACTGGAGAGGAGGTTACAAAGCTGGCCTGGAACCCTTCCACTTGTGATCTGCATCCTACAATATGGAATATTCTAAATATCATGGGCTTTCCCTAGCTAACAAGCTGGTTATTCTGGCTATGCATGAAGATACAGATTTGGGTCTTAATTAACATGTGTAGTTTAATCAAACCATTTATGATCCTGAGAAATCTGAACTGTAGACTTTCTGGTTTTTCTGATGACAGACAAATACCATAACCAAAAAGGAACTAAAATAATGGTTTAGTACATAAAGCATTTGCACCAGCTATAGCTGTGGTCATTTTTGTGGAAAACTGGGAATTCTGAAGATCATATTTTTCAGTGTCTGATGAAGATTTGAGAGATAATAGACATGAGACTAATACATTAGGGACCTCACAAAAGTTTTTGGTGTTTAAATTTAAATAGCATTTTATTTAAATTTATAGGGGCTAACTCTCCTGCAGTGACAATGCTGTAAATCTCCAGCTAGGCTCAGTTTTATTATAAAATAAGTTGGCCCAAATGAGAAAATCTGGAATAAATTGACATGAAAGTGGATTGGCCTGTTTAGTCTGGTGACCTAGTGAAACAGTGCAGGACTTTATAATCTTCAATGCAGACAGGTCTTCATTGTTGAAGGAAGCAGGAAGTGTAAAGAGGGCTGTAATTGCATATTCTTTAATAAGAACTATAATTGTTGCTTTCTCCAAACAGATCTCAGACAGATTTTAATAGTGTGCACACACTGAAAAGCCTCTCAAACACACCCTTCTACCCTAATTTGTTCATATACATTGATATATTCTAATGTATTTACACCCTCTAAAAATGTAGTCCATGTAAAGCATTTCTGATGTGCAGGGCTTCTTACTCTTTTTTCCTTTTAGATTGACTATGACATAGAGAAATACAATGGAGCAAGATTCAGTAAGAGGAAAAAAAAAGGTCCAGTAGATGTGTTTTTTTGATACTTTGAAGTTTCCATCTTAAAATAAGGGCTTAGCATTGCCATGATTATAGTGGTCAGTCTTTACTGCAATATCAGGGCCATGCCATCTTTTGTATTCACTGAAATAGTTCTAGTTGTGCAGCATGTTTTTAAAAAAAAAAAACAAACAAACTCCCAGTATTGTATTTTGTTTCAGGAAACTTAAAATTAGGAAAGTACATTTGTGAAGCAGTACCGTTTTCTTTGCTCAATTTGAAGGGATCACATCTTGTGCTGAATATCAGTATAAATCTTGGTCAATATGAGGGAAAGTGATGCTGTGCAAAGCCTATCGTAACTACTGAAGTTCAGAAAAAGCAGACGTGAGCTTCTCCTAACACAGCTCTATCTTTGATGGCTGAAATTCTGTTTTTCTTATGTCTTCATGTTCCACGCTCTTGCTCTAGTCATTACAAAACAAACGGTCTTCTTAACCGGCATTAGCTGTATGTCTTCCCATGAACCATGGTAACTGAGGACTGAGATTTAGGAACGATTATTTAGTTTTCATCAAACTCCCTCAGACTGTAGATCTAAGCAAAATCATGTCATATGTTGGAAATGACTTCAGTAGTGACTGTCCTTCAGCAGCTGTGCTAAATTTGTATGGTTCTGCAGTGCCACAGACAGCTTTTTTCAGGACAGTTGTCATCACAGATATATATTAAGTTACTTTTATTACCACTGAGTATCATATTTTAAAAGCCTTGAATTCTTCTTTCTGTGAAATGTGAAGGTAGGAAAACATTAGGTTTACATCCCAGGAGACTCACATCTTCAATTTATTTGTAGAAAAGACACACCAGGGATAGTGGATTTGTAAGATTCTTCATGATAACCTGACTCTAGAATAAGGAGTTCAAAAATGTTAAAGGCTTCTGGATTTGTACCCATAAAGCTTTTTTTTTTTTTTTTTTTTTTTTTTTACTACAAACATAAAACCCCAACCAAACCCAAACCCCAAGCAAAAAGCACTGCATTCTCTTGTAAATTTGAAATTGGCTTTAGAATATAAATGTTCATCTGATAGCAGCTGGTGTGAGTTCATCAACCCCTCCTATATCTTCCACTAATCAGTCACCCCCTGATAAAGGCTTCCATTGTTCAGGTGACCTGTGTATGAAATATCCCACTTTAGTCCCTGAGGGGTATTCAGTATCACCTATCTGATCAAGGAAGAGTAGGACAGTCTGCAGTATCTACTGATGATATTTATACAACTGGGGTTTAGAAAGGGATTTGGTTAAAAAGGATATCTGCAGAAAGAAGAGTAGGACTACTCCTGTTTGCCATAGTTCATACAATTTGCCTTTTTTAAAACCACATGTCAAGGTATGTAAAATCCGTGCAAGCAAGAAAATGAAATCGTGGTTTGCTACTGCTTGGCAATATTCATGCAGTGAGTCAAGTCAACAATACTGAGGTTGAGAAGAACACAAACCAAGGAGGTTGCCCATGCAAATGATACATCCTGGTTGCTTCCTCATGAACTCTTCCATGAAGTCTTGCTGCACCCATCTTGATTGCATATGCTAATCAAGGCTTCTTAATTGACTCATAACAGATTTATCTGGATTTCCAACTTCCTCTTCTCTTTAGAATGTTAATTAAAAGAAAAACGATTACACTTAAGATATTCATGACAATAACAGAGTTTTCTGCTAGAGGTGTTCAGAGCCAAATTTTGCTTTTATTTATATGGAACTATTTAAAATCAATGAGCTTCAGATTATTTTGTGTTAGGGACCTTTTGATACTCACATAGTAAAAAAAATGGCTTCAGCAGCAATGGAGGACAGTTCATACAGTATACTTTCTAAATTTTACCTCATACAGTAAAATTGAGAAAGAGCCCCAGCTTTTCGAATAAAATATATATAACAAGTCCAAAGCCAGTTTGTTTGGATGAAAATGAGCCCAGAAGTGCTCATGCAGACTTGCATATTCTCCATCTCTTCCTCTAAATCAGTCACTGTCATTATTAGGCCTGCAGAAGTAGGAAAAGGAGGGCTTCAGTACTCCCCATATGGAATATGGAGATTTTGAGTCACGTCCCTATCATAATCAGATAATTGTCCTTTGTTATTTCTTAAGCCAGATGTAGAGCTTGTTTATTTTTACTCGGGATTTAGGATCTCTTTAAATAATAGTTATGTTTTTTGTCATATGGACAAAATGAGATTTAATTAAAGAAGAAGTAGAATGAAAATGCTCTTTCTTCTTCCTTTT